GTGAAATTCTATTAGAAATTAACAAGATGTTTAGAAAACCCTTAAATATTTTGAAGCTAAACACACTAATAACTCACAAGCCAAGAAAGAAATCAAAAGAGAAAATACTTTTACAATGAAAACAAATCACAATTTGTGGGATTCAGCTAAAAGCAGTGCCTACAGGGAATCTTATAGTTGTAAATGCTTCTATCGGAAGAGAAAGGTAGAAAATCAGTGGTAGAGGTTCCTACCTTAAGCTAGGAAAAGAGCAAAATATACCCGAAATAAGAGTAGACAAATATTAAAAATCTAAAAAGCCAAAAGTTTGTGGGGAAAAAAATGACAAGGGGCACTTGGGGTGGCTCAGTCGGTTAAGTGACAGACACTTGATCTCTGCTCAGTTCATGATCTCATGGTTTGTGAGATCAAGCCCATGTCAGGCTCTGCGATGACACTGTGGAGCCTGCTTGGGATTTTGTCTCTCCCTCTCTCCCTCTCAAAAAATAAGAAAGCAACAACAACAAAACCGCAGCTAAACTTACGAAGGAAGAAAAGAGACAAATCACCAATAAGAGGGAACAGCATTACAGATAGTATGGATGAGAGAAAGATCAAGGAATATGAACAATTTTAGAACAAAACGGACAACTTGTACGCAACAGACAAAATCTGAAAAATAACTTACCGAAATTGAAATGAGGAAATGTAAAACCTTAGAAGTCCTATTCAAGGGGCACCTGGGTGGCTCTGTCGGTTAAGCATCCAACTTCAGCTCAGGTCATGATCTCACGGTTCGTGGGTTCGAGCCTCGCATCGGGCTCTGTGCTGACAGCTCAGAGCCTGGAGCCTCTTTCAGATTCTGTGTCTCCCTCTCTCTGCCCCTCCCCCGTTCATGCTCTGTCTCTGTCTCAAAAATAAACATTAAAAAAAATTTTTTTTAAAAGTCCTATTCAAGAAACTGAATTTATAAATCAAAACTTACCTGAAGCAAACTCTTGGCCCAGATGATTTAGCTGGTAAATTGTATTAAATCCAACTTGACAAAATTTTTAGAAAATAGGAGCAAAAACTTTCCAACTTGTTTATGAGGCCAGTATAACCCTGATCTCAAAACTGGACAAAGACATTACAGAATAAGGAAACTGCAGGCCATTCTGCATGAACATAGGTACTAAAGTCCTTAATATATTAGCAAATCAGTACTAGTGCATCAAATCCAGCAATATATAAAAAGGTAACTATGTACATCATGACTGAGTTGGGGTTATCCCAGGAAGTTAAACTCTTGGTTTAATATTTGAAAAAGTAGTTTCAAGTATTAACAAAATAGAAAAGTCACACAATTTCAGTAGATACAGAAAAAGCAACTTTTAAAAAGCCATCATAAAACCCCAGCAAATCAGGAATAGAAGGTGGCATCAACAACTTGACAAATGGCATCTGTGGAAAAAGGTGCAGTATCACATTTAACAGTAAAATATTGAATACTTTGCCCCTAAGAAGAGGACCAAGGTAAGGATGTCCGCTTTTACGACTTTTGTTCAACATTATACTAGAGGTTCTGGTCAGTGTTCTAAAGGCAAGAAATAAAAAGGCATAGGTAGAAAAGGGCATGGTTATTTATAGAGAAAAACCTAAGGAATCCTAAAAGCAAGTAAATGAAGGTGCCACCAGTGATAACTGGATTTGGCAAGGTCAGTGTTCAAAAATCAATTGTTTTCCACCAAGGAACTGTTTGAAAATGAAATTCAAAAAAAATCCATTTACAATACTGTCAGATACTACTGACATGAAATACTTAGGGATGAATTTAACAAAATACATGTAAGACCTGTACCCTGAAAACTACAAAGCACTGTAGTGAAAAAGACCAAAATAGGCCATGTTCACACACTGGGAAACTAACTCTTGTTGAGATCAAAATTCTTTCCAAATAGGTTCGTGGATTCCTAGAAGCCCAACAGGTTTTGGGGTAGAAATTGAGAGCTGGTTCTCCAATGTGAGGGAGATACAAAGGACTCAGCACATCCAAGGCAATCTTGAACAAAGTTGGAGGACTTACCTCACTTCCAGACTTGACCAAAATAGCAATTACGAGGTGCTGGCATGGGGAGGTGAGGGTGCAAGTAGATCAGTAGGTCTTTTCAACAGTGCCAGAACGACTGGACGGCGGTGTAGGAAAAAGTGGATCTGATCCTAATCTGTTACCGTCCACAAAAGTAACTCAAAACAGATGATGGACCTCAATGTAAACCTAAAATTTTACAGTTCCTAGAAGAAAATAATGAGACTACAGGCAGGACAGGAATAGTCCAGTGCTTCAGACTAATAAGCCATGAAGAAAACGAGTATCAGACTACAGACTGGGAGTATATTCTGGGAAAACAGTCACAAAATATATCTGACAAAGAGTTTATATCCAGGATATATAAAGAACTCCTACAACTCAAAACGAACCACCCAATCAACAGCCCCCCAATAAACACAAAGAATGTTATAGATGCAAAATAAAACTGCAATGGAATGCCACTCTGTACCCTCCAAAATGGCTACGGACAATTCCAAATCTTGGGGACGTTGAGAAGCCACCAGAGCTGTCCCACATCATTAGTGGGAGTAAAATGGTGTAGCCACTTTGGGGTGATGGGAACATTATGTACCTGGATAGGCATGTGGGTTAGATGGGCACATACATTTGTCAAACCTACTCAATGGTACCCTTGAAATTTGTGTCGCTTCACTGTATGCAAATCTTTACCTATGACAAGACTCCAAAGTGAAATGTTAAATCATTGTGGTAACTTCTCAATGTTTTAAAAACAGTTCTAAAGAGACCCAGGAAATCACCTGTTCAGTTTAGTAACAGTGACAATTCTTAAACTTTTAAATATGCACCATGTACCATGCTATTTTGCACAGCATTCTCCTTTAATCAAGAACCCTAAGGATACAGGCTACACCCCGTTTTACAGATGAGGAAAGTAAGGCTCAGCGCAGGTAACATGCCCTGTCACACACGTCATCTCAACACCCCGCATAGAATTTGGATTTCTTCTGATGACTCACCTTTCCCCACTAAACTCGACAATAAAATGCAAACTCAATCTGCAAGGTAGAGATTACCGACTTTTGGCCAGATTCTGATCTCAGTAGTGTTTTGTGTGCTGGCAGCTTTAAATCAATTTAAATCAATCATTTTTAGGAAGGCTCATTTCTCACCAGGCACCCTTTCCTAGTCCGGTGGATCTTCACCCTTCTTCATATCAAGTCATATGTGGAAACTTTTGTAAAATACAGTTTGGAGCGAAGGGTTGAGAGGCCTGAGGCCTGCTTGTATCCTGCCCTCCCAGCTTACTTCCACAAAGCCTGTCCTAGGCCATGAGTCCAGTCTTCCTTCCAAAGATTAGCTGACTCCTCTAAAGGATGGACGTTCAGAGGGGCGCATGTACGTCCCCGACTACACGCATTCAGGCACATGTAAAGATTCACAAAAAGAGTACTTGCCCCTGAGTAGGATGCATCTTGATACCTTTTGTGTTAACCACCAAATTGATTTCGTGACTATCAATACTTCAAGACCCATCTTTTGAAAAATATTGCTCTAAGGTACGCGCTGATTACACTTTATTGACAACACCAGAGCAAACTGGAGAACTCGCATAGACCAAGGGCAGGGGCCAGTAGACACAACTTCTATAGAGACAGATGGTAAGAAAAAGTCACATGGAAAACATCTCAGTGCTCTCCAAGTTTTAGGTTTATAACATAAACAAGGAGTTATTCCAATTCTTGGGAAAACAGAAATCTCTTCTCACTTAAGCCTAATACAAATAGGCTAGAAAGTAGGTGTTTATTTTTAACCTAAGTTGGAAGCAGAGACTGATGAAATAGCAGCCAGAGATTTCCTTAATAAGCTATTTGCTTTGAGTTTCAAGCTCTAGGCTTACATTTTCTTTGAAGGAGTAATCAAGCCTTTCCTTCTTATCCAAAGCGGGAAAGGAGAGGTCATAAATGAAGAATCTGAGGTAGCTTTGCAGTTCTAGAAGCTGCTATGAGCCAGGTATGAAATGGTCACCCCTGACCTAAGTGGGCCTGCCACCCGCTGCCATATTTATACTGTTCTTTGAACAACTGAGAAGACTCACCAAACACTTTCAAACTGTTTCACAGCGGCTTTGCTGCTTGAAACTACTGTCTTCTGTCGCCTTAAACCAACAGAGGACAGACCAATATAGCTCAGGCTCAGTGTGTGGGGCTGCCTGCCCAGTGAAAGGAAGACAAGATAACCAAACACCTGAAGAGCAGAGTAACGTACAGCTCACACCTTAGTCAAGGTCAGAATGATTCATACTTTACCTGGCTCCAGAGTGGTGGGGAAAGAAAATCACAGACTTAAGATTCCTGAAATGTAAATTATTTTTAATATATTTAAAAGCACACAGAAGTCTCCTTGATTTATAAAAAAATAAATACATGACAGATTTATTCATGATCTTGGGGCTCTTATGAGGTAAAACTTTTTAATGGATGTGGTGCGTCGATGTAAAACAAACATGATCTGTTACACACAGAAGCATATTCCAGTTGTAAAAGCAAATTCCTTCAAGGATCCGAACGAACAAAGATCAGTCCTCCACTGTGGAAAGTGTGTCCAGAGCTGGGGGAGGGGACCGGGCCCAGGCTGGGGTCCTCTGACCAGCCAGCCTACAACCTCCAGAGCCAGGGCACAAAGACAGGGCCCAGCAGCTCCCATGGCCGCTCTGCAGGTCAGCCAGGCTTCTGAACAAATGACGAACGCGGGCCCCCGCAAAGGCTGCACAGGACTCCCGGCCTCTGCTGTGACTGTGATGCACGGGAGTGACTGTTTTGTCCTCATTTGTGGCTCTGTCTTAAGGTTGAGAGCAGAAGACTCAGAAGGTGTGCTCATTAAATATTTTCATTGTAACACTGAATGGAAATCAAGATCCTGCCCGTGAGCGTGGAGCCCAGAAAACACGGGACCCTCACGCTGGGCTTTACTGGAGACCGGGAGTTCAGGTGAGCGAGCATGCGCTTCCTCAGGGGGCAACAGGGGAAGTGCTTTCTCCAGCTGACATGCTCTCCAGGGCAAAGTCTGGCCTAAGATACTTGGCAAGGCTGCGTAAAATGGGAATATGGGAATCAAGTTTTACCCCCGTAACACACAACATAAAAAACCAAAAATCCAGTCTCGTTAGTAGACAGCTAAATTCTGATTAAAACCTGAAATGTTTTTGTGAAATCTTCAACAGGCTGGAATGTATCTGATACAGTTTAATCTGTTGTCTCTTTGGCTATCTTTCAATTAGATCTAGAAACTGTTCTGACACCCTCCATCCTATTTTGCCTGTAGTTCTTACATCGGCTAGCTCTCCTCAGGGAAGTGACCCGTAGCCACCTCCCTAATAGTGAGGGCGGACCTCTGAATAGAAGAGGCCTTCGGCAGAAATGGCATCTCCGAGGCCCACGGTTCGAACGGGATCTTTACACACCAGTACTGGTGTGAAGTGGAAGGATACCCCCTCCCTGTGCCACTCTGCGACCGGCCTGCTGGGGTCTATCACGATCCTGGAGCCGGCCTCTGAGTGGGAAGTCATGAACTCGCGGGGCGCCCTCAGGGACACTCGGCTGGCATCTATGGTCTCTGTCGCGCAGGCCTGTGTCCCGGCTACGCGAGCTCCCGCAGCCACAGCTGCCAGCTGGTTGGCCCAGTGTCCATCTACGGTTGCCAGGATGTGGTAGACCAGCGTGTGGAAATGGATCCTGGTGAGGTCTGAGGCTCTGCTTTTACTCCTCCCATGTTCCTTCAAGATCCAAAAGAGGATGTCGCTGACCATACCCACATCAGGGACACCATTCCAGGAAGAGAGGGACGAGTGGGGTCCAGATGCCGCCTGGCTGAGAAATAACAGCTCCTGTTCGTTCAGCCCAAGGGAAGTCACCGCGGGGAAGACCTGCTAACAGAAACAAAGCGGAGGTTTCTTCCTGATGAACATCCAACTCCCAAGATGCCTCAGGACACAGCCAATGACTGAAGTCAGGGAAGGCAGGCAGTATGGCATCTTTCTTCCTACCACAGGACTCCCCACCCCTGATGCACACGCTGGGGAAGTGACGGACCACAGGTCGCTGCTCTGGCTATTGCACCTCTAACTACACCCTCATTATCACTTGGGATTTGACCAGAAAGTTGCAGTCACACCGTTTTAGACTCAGTCTTTTGTTATATCCATCTAAGACAAAGGGCAGAGGGAACACATATTTCGTATTGCTTTCCATGGGCCTCGCTTTTGCCTTTGCATACACAGCAGACCCTCTTCCTACTGGTGGGACTGGGTTCCCGGTTCCTGAACACCAGCAGGTGCTGTACCAGTAAATGAGGGCCCTACCAACACAGTCAGGGTCACATGGTTCCGTGTACACAACACCAAGAAGCAAGGAGAAACATTTCAGGTTAGAGCTAAGCTTTTTAAGCAGGTGTGGGGTAGGGAAGACTGTATTCAGTAATAACTGTGTGCAAAAGGGTACTGAATGGAAGCCGCTAAGCCTGTTTCTGTCTCAAGGGGAACCACTGTGTCTAACTCACTATCTCTTACTCAGCACTTCTCTCCTTAGAGCCAGAGAACTGCACATAAGGTTGTGCAAGAGAAAGGAGCCCCTGGAGGGCGGGCGGGAGGGGGAGGGGTATGTGTGGGTGCATGTGAATATATTTATTATTTAAAAACCAATGGTCTAGGGGCGCCTGGGTGGCTCAGTCGGTTGAGCAGCCGACTTCGGCTCAGGTCATGATCTCACAGTCTGTGAGTTCGGGCCCCATGTAGGGCTCTGTGCTGACAGCTCAGAGCCTGGAGCCTGCTTCGGATTCTGTCTCCCTCTCTCTCTGCCCCTCCCCTGCTCACACACTGTCGGTCTCTCTCTCAAACATTAAAAAAAAAAAAAAAAAAATTAAAAAAAACACAAAACAACAAAAAGAAACAAAAAACCAATGGTCTGTACCTTTGCCAATGTAATAGCACCTCCATTTATGGCATGTTGTGTGCCGGGCCCTGAGTGGATGGCTTTATTTCATTCCATTCTTACTGTAACCCTCTCAAAGGAGTGATTACCTCTGTTTTACAGATAAGGGAACTGAGGCTCAAAGGTTAAACAGACACACAGAAAATGAAATAAAAATGGCTTTTTTTTAAGTGAAAAGATAACGTCAAAAGAGAAATGCAAATTAAAAACTGTACTGAGAAATAGCAAGTGTGAAACCCAACGTAAACTGTGGGCTGTGGCGACCTGAGTGTAGGGTCAGGCACTCACAGCTGTGACACTGCAGGGCAGCGAGGTGCCGACGGGGGAGGTGGTGGGCTTGTGTGTGGCAGGTATATGGGAATGCACCACGTGCTACTCACTGTTGCTATGAACTAAAACTGCCCTAAAAAGTAAAGTCTATTAAAAGAAGACACAAATATTCAAGTATTTTTCACCTATCAGATTGGTAAAGAATACAAGTTTCTAATCACATTCTCGTGGCAAGGAAAAGAGGGAATAAACACTTGTAAAGATTTCTAGCAGCAGGAAATGGGCACAGCTCTCACGAAGGGTGTCTTGGCAGCATTAAATTTACAAAGACCTTCTCTGCTTCACCTAACAGCTCTTCTGAGAATTCAACATATGTACCTACTTACTCTCGGGGAAATGAAAATCCTGTACAAGTTTCTCCCCTGCACCTCCTGATGGGCCAGCAAAGGACAGAAACCAAGATGCCCAAGATGGGCTAAGCAACCTGGGCTCCCTTTCACTGCCTGGCTGTGAAAAGACAGGATGCTTCCCAGGGGATGGTGGAGAAAAGGTCTCCAAAGTCCCATCAGTGAGAAAAAGCAAAATGCATAATGGTCTGTGTTCGGTGTGCTGTGCTATCTTTTGGGGTAAAAAAAGGACAAAAAAAAAAAAAGGATATATTCCCACATTTGCTTATACTTGTACACAGTGACTCTGGTAGTATACAGATAAAACCAAGAACGTTACTAACAGTGGCAGGGAGACTTCACTGTATCTTAGTATTTTTTGGGTTTTGAACCACATGAATATATTACCCATTAAATAGGTTAAATACTAAAACAATGAAAGGTTAAGTAACTTGCCTAAGTTGATAAACTTAGAGAGCGGCAAACTGGCATCCCAACCCCGGCTTCCGAAGTCTGTGTTCAAGCACCACACTCCCAGATCTACCTAAGCACTGCTGTTGCCCAGAGGCAGGAGTTGAATATCTTGGTGCCTGGTGGTAAGGGAGTGAAGCTCCCCTAAAATTCTTCTCCTCTGAGCTTCTGGAGTTTCAACTGAAAGCAGCTGAGCTGGACCTGTGGTTTTCTCCTTGGAGTTCTACCGCAAAAACCATTCACTCTCAACTTCTCCACTCTGGGAGAAACAGGACCCACAAAATCCATCAGTTACGCTGCCATACTTCTAACCTAGTAAGAGATCCTGTTCCAGAATGGCCATGACTCCTTATCTGGATCTCCATGGCCCCAGGACTGCATGACAGAATATCCACACCTCAGTAAGCCGGCCCCTGAGCCCAAAGAGCTGGCCCCACTGGACAACGGCGCTTCTCAGCAAGGCCCACAAGGATGAGGGCGCCAGAGGGCCTCACGTGCTGCCCATGTGGTTACCTGATGCACAATGCTCCTCATGAGCTCCCTGTTGGTCATGCTGGCCAGCTCTAGGTGAACTGGAATACCAGTGGGGATGTCAGAAATGGAGGTCACAACCTGCGAACACAAGAGGGCAGCGGTGCCATTAAAGACAGAAGTCACGCAAGAGGGAAGAAAGGGTCAAGGCCGAGAGGCAGTGCCTCGGGTCACTGCCTTCTTTGCCTCATCATGAAAACTCTAAGCCTCGGGAGTCACCACAGCCTCCAGACAGGGGACACTGTTCCCAACAGGGAGGCGCTGGGGTCACAGACTCAGGGCACTGAGAACCGCCCCTGTGCTCACAGAGCCAGCCTATTCCTGGGGGCCTACATGGAGCGGCTGGCTCCAACCGCTGCAGAGCCTGCAGGAGCCGCGGCACAGCTGATGTGAACAGATGACACACACGACACAGAGGACGCAGACCACAAACACCGCGGCAGCCACGTCCAGCGTAGCGCAGGGTGCAGAGGCTCAGGCAAGAGGTCCTGCCCTGTCCTACTCAAGCTGCCGTCCGTGTGCCTGAAAAGAGCACCAGGAGGCAGGCCTCAGAGCCGGCTGCCACGAAGGGTCCTGCGGAGGCCAGGAGCGAGGACCAGGCAGCGCAAGCTGCAGAGGCGGAGAGAGGCAGGAACCTGAGGAAAAACGCCAGCTGAGATCCGTGAGATTCTGTGACAGTGCTATTACCTCCAAGAGCCTCTTCCTCTGGAGCTCCTTGCTTTGTCCCTCCATCATGTGCAATCCAGAGAGGACCACCAGGTCTGGCTGAAACTCCTCCAGGCTAGACACAAACACCTCCAGCATATTCATGGCCCCGTTGGAAAGGTCGTGGGAGAAGATGAAGCGGTTGGCATGGGGAGCTTTTAACTGGCCCCACTCCTCCCCTAGAAAAGCCCAGTCAACACAATGGGAAGAAAAGGAAGAGGCTTTAAGTCTCCTAGCTGTGGGGGGCTAGCAGGGGCCTCACTGGAGCCCTGGCTCTGGGCATGCTGGCCGCTGGCTGCTGGCTGAGTGCAGCCCAGCTACAAGGGCCCAGCCAAGCACGGCGCTGCATCCAGGAGGACCGTGGCCAGTAACGAAACAAACAAACCAAACCCCAACCCCAACCCCAGAAAACAACACACGCGTCCTGGGTGCTCTATGCCTTTGGCAAGGGGCTGGCAGTTAGTCCCGGGAAAGCTCCACTGCCCGCTGAGCTCTCACATACAGGATACCTGTGTCTCTGCCTACGGGACTTGCTGTCTTTCTTGAAGCACTTGCCGACTTGCACCTGTGCCCCGACCACCTTTCAGTTAGCCAGGACCTACAGAGGCTGAAATTCCAAGAGTCAGGCTGACTGCAGCCTTTCCTCCCTGCTGTCACGGGTGGTTTCCCCGCACTTGATCCAGAAGGCAAGAGTATCTGGCTGCTCTAGCTTCCTGTGAGTGAGCTGCTTTGGAATAATGCCTGCTCCAGACCAAGGTTAAATGCTACTTCCTCCCTAAGTGGCTGCTGACTGCTCCAGCCTGAGGTGTATCCACAGAGATTTCCCTCCACATGGTTTGAATAGCATTTTGCTTTGAGCTATCTCTTCTACTTCTACTGTTCTGAACTAGTACTCAAACTTATACCATCCCTTAACTTCTTACACATTTGTGCCACATCTCCCCAAATGGAATGCCAGACTGTACGCCTCTGATTCTCGCAGTACTTGTCACAGGCCCCTGCGGAGAGTGCCACTCAGCATCTGCTGAACTGACGCCAGCAGAGGGAGGCCAGATCCACAGCTGGCTGGATCTTCTGGTGGGGGGAAGGAGCTTAGGATCTGGGCCTACCCACGGGAGTGGCTCTCAGCACCTGCCACACATCAGAATCTCCTGGGGAGCTGAGTTTTAAATGTCAGGTGGTGAGGCCCACCGCTGGAGATCCTGACGTGTAGGTGAGTGGAGAGCTACCTATTAGGACTCCACAGTTGCCAAGCATTTGAGGAGTGCGCTATGGCTGGGAGTCCTGAAGCAGGACAGGCGACAGGGGCCCTCCTCAGGCTCACCTGTGAAGCCTCACAACTGGAGCACAGTGCTCTTTCTTCTCTCAAGACTTGATAGAAAATCTGGAAACTCAGTCAAGCCAAGGGCCACTGCTACTAGGCTTGCTACTGCTTAGGGCAATTCCTAAATGAGCCCCTGCCAGCATGGAGGTACTTCTAGAGACTCCAGGGGCAAGGATTTATTATCTAGGCTTATACAGCTTTTCGTCCAAATGAAGGATTCATCCCATTTACAAAATTAGAGTCCATACGCTGAAGCCTGGTTTCATACTGGTTCTAACATATTTCCTGGATATTCCTTTAGAAAGTTCTTCCCCAAGGCAGGCAGACCCAGCAGAGGGTTTCCTCCTACTGCAGGCTGATTAACGGACTCCAGTCAGCAAACTGCTTCCTCCTTTCTACAACAGGCCTCCCCAAACAGAAGCCTTGCCTCTCCATGGGGAGTGTGCATGAGTGTGCAGGGCTGACTCTGGGGCGGGTGCCAAGGTGGGGAGAGCCCATCCTTCCTTTGCTTTGAGTTCAGCTTTACTGAATCCATTCCTCTGAAAAACATATTCTAGGTGTATAAAAATCTACGAAAGCAGAAAAAGACATTTCCTATTTACTAAACCCCAACACAACGGTTATGTCCGTTAAAATGCCACATGCTTTCAATTCCTGGCCCCCAGCTTACTAGTTGTCCAAAGAACATACCCAATAATGGTCCACACAGCTGAGTGCAACACTCTCATCCTGCCTCTACTTCAAAGACCCAGAGCAAGCGCGGCCTCCCCTGCAAAGTCTGTCCTAACTCTGCCGATCCCAGTAGACTCGGCCGCTTCGGCCCCTGGGCCACTGCTGTAACTGCTTCAGGATGTGGCACATGATTTTGTAATCATCTGCTCAGGAGCCCAGGCGCTGTCATGAGCTGTGAGCTGAGCACAGGGCCCATGTCTGTCACCAGCCCCTCCGGCCTCACACTGCCCCACATGCAGCTTGTGAACAAATCAATGAGCAAAGGAACAAGCGAATGAGAGGAAAGACTGAGGACTTCAATGCCCATGACAACAAAAAATATGGATATGACCCCAAATCCCAACCACCATCCCCCAACTGACAAGACTCTACACAAGGGGAGAAATCCACGCCAGCATCCTGCAGAGGGCAAGACCTGGAACTGACCCTTAAGGAGCGAGGCTTCTGAGAGGCACTGCCTAACTTACCCCCAGAGAAAAAGCAACTTAGCATTCAAAGTAATTTCCCCAGGGAAAAAGGGAGAGAGGCAAAACACACAGGCCTCTGCAAGGCAAAGACAAGGAGGGAAGTGGAGAGCTGCTCCCTGGCTGTTCCCACAGGACACAGGACTGATGGAGTGGCCCAAGAGCGACAGAACGACTGGAACGCAGACAGAGTGAGCCGGGAACCGCCACGCCCCCCTGTTCTCACAGAGCTCCGAACGTGTTTCTCTAAGGGAGCCCTTCACTCAATTTACCATCCTGCCCTTCGGCCACGAAGTCAGCAAAACCTGTGCAGTGACTCAGTGGGTCCCGGGCCAAAGCCTGGAAACAAGCTTCTCTGGGCAAGTCTGGCAGAGGAGGAGGAGGAAATGAAAGGTGACAAATCCTCTCTGGGAATTTATTCATCGAAATTTGAGAGAAGCTGGGGACGGACTTCTGTAAGAGAAGTGACCCGAGGGCTTCTGCCACCAGACCAGGTTCCCTCCAGGGCCAGTAGACTGTAACTTCATATGAAGTTCAATGGGAAGCCCTGCTTTGTTCTAAGAAAATAAGACCCAGAAAAGAAAAACTGAAGTGTGGGGTTCATAAACCCAAGGATGGAGATAGTCTCCTTTCAAGACAAGCTGTGCCATCTTCTTACCTCCACACGAGGCATAGCTGTCAAATCCAACAGCAAAATCATACTGAAGAGAGCAGTCTCCCCACCCTGCGGTCAACAGGGAACATGACAGAAACCAGGAACTAGAAAGGTCCCCAGTTCACCATGTGAGCGCCAGCAGAGTGCAAGTGACAGGACCCCGGAACTGGCAGCAGCAGCAGCACCTCAAAGGCATTGTTAGCTCTTCTAGACCCTTCCAAGTCAACAGTCCTGTTCGTGCCTTCCACTGAAGGAGCTCACAGTACACAGTAACCTCTTAATCTTTACCACAATCTTCAGGCAGTAAGAATGATCATTCTGAGTTTCTGAGAAACTCAAAACTTGTATATGATTAAATGTGAACTGCCCACTGCAACACCTTGTCCATAATGTTCAGATCTTACCCTTCCTAAAGTTAGGAAGCTTCCTGCTCCCAATAAGCACCCAAGAGAGAACCAGAAACAATTCCTTTTTTCATACATGGAGAAAAAACCAATTTTTAAGAAACACTCTATTTCATATCTTAAAGTTAATTACTCTAGAAGGTGAGGTTCTCTTAATTGACTTGGAAGCAGTTCACTGAAGCTTATTAAGTACTGCTTTAAGGGACCAATTAGTCTGTTTATATGCTTGAGTCTTTAACTTAATAATGTGTTGAATCAGAAATTCAAGAGTCTGAATACCGAGCAGAGAAAAGATCCAACAGCAAATACACAGAATTAAATACAGTTAAAATATGTTTAGGTATTTAGGATTCTCTGAGAATCTGATCTGTAGTTTATGTAATATGCAAAATCTATTGGGAATGACACCAGATGAGCTGGATTTGGACTGATAAAACACTGGAATATTATATAATGGGAAATAATATAAGTGTTGTGAAATACAAACACTTCCACTTACACACCCAAGGGAAAATAAAATGCTTCAAAAGATGTTTGCCAGAGGCTTCGAATCAATCAATCCTAAGCAGCTTGGAACAGTTGGCCAGAAAAGCCTAGGGCACAATCCAACACAGTGTTGAACAGATGTTACCTGCCCTTCTCTTTCCTTAGTAATAAAGAAAAACTTTGTATATTTATGTTTAACACATTTTCGCTCCAGATGCCTACTTTCCTATAGCCTGATTTCTCTTGGGTTTAGATCAGTTGTTTGTAGATCTGAGAATTTTCTTCAATATTGGAATACTCCATCATTCTTGAGACAATGGCCAGTATCAGCTCAGCAGAAGCAAGAGGTCAGGAAACTTTCGGTAAAGCAAGAAAGGGTCCCACCAATTTACAAAGATAAATTTCCAGCATAGTCACACCCCAATCTGACAACACACGGTTCCCTGTCCAGTCTCACACCATTACTTAGTCATTTCTCTTACCTGCTTGATACTCTAAAATAAGGTGGAACTCATCCACTTCCTGCAATGACTCTGGTGGAACAAATACATTATCATCAAGAAGTTCATGTAGCTTTGGGCCAACTGGACCGCAAAGAAGAACCTGGAGACAAGAAATAGGAAACCTTTCAGAAGACCTGTCCCTGTTCCCATGGAATCTATACAGCAACAGAAAAGGTACATCCAGACCACTTCTATTCATTTCAACAAAAAACTAGAATCCAAATCTAAATTCCAAAGTTTTTGGTCTGGAGGGGCTATTACCAGGACTTAGGCCTCTGGAAGGAATGGCCACCAGAAATGAGGGGCTGACAAAAGACCCAAGTAATACAGGTTAGGTACCTATGTAGCTGCTGAATCTCCTACACCCTGCTAGGGACTGAATATTTGTGTCCTCCCCCAAATTCCTATGTTGAAGCATAACTGCCAATGTGATAGTATTTGGAGACAGAGCTTTTAAGAGGTAAGTAAGGCCAGACGAAGTCATATGGGTGGGGTCCTAATCCAGTAGACTGGTGGCCTCCTAAGAATGGGAAGGGGGAGACAGAGCTCTCTTTCCAGCATACCCACTGAAGAGAGGCCATGTGAGGACACAGCAAGAAGGTGGCCACAAGCCAAGAAAGCAGCCCTCAGAAACTGGATCCTGTTGGAACCTTGATCTTGGACTTTCCAGCCTCAGAACTGTGACAAAATAAATTTCTGTTGTTTAAGCTGCCCAGTCAATGCCATTTTGTTGCTATGGCTGTCCAAGCAACCTAAGACCCACCCCACCTCCACTTTCTTTACTCACTCACGTCCTGTATCAGCAAACTGATACGGGATGTTGTCTGCTCAAAGCTGCCAGATAAAAGCAATTGTTTGACTTTTACACAATATAGAAAAGAGCCTCCCTAATCACAGGACCCAATTTGTGGAATCGGGCTCTTTATTGCACTCAGCTGCTATGTGAGCGGGCTAGCCTTCCAGAGATGGGAATTAAAGAGCACACCTCAATTCAGCAAGCTGGGGGGAAGGTGCTCTGCAACATTCCCCAAACCTTTTCTTCAACTCTAACCTGGGCCTCTCCCTGGCTATTCCTTCAAGAAGTCATTTCACATCTGCTGCTCTTCCTCAGTTCCCATAAGCTGCTGCTCCTGCCCTGACAGGTCTGGACCCCACTCCCAACCAGACCAACAGGCTCAAAACCACCAAACAATGAGGGCTTGCACAGGGATGTAAAGGAATGTCCTCAGAGATGATCAACACCACTTCAGATTTAATATGCTCCACCCAGAAGCTTCAAAAGGCATTTACTTGCTAATTAACTGCTTGTTGGTACAACTACCGCTTTACTTCTTTTCTCTAATTCCTGGCCAGAACTTCAGTCTCCAAGATGAGGCAACAAGGGCCAAATTTACCCTCCCGCCCAAAACAACCATAAAAAACAGACAAAATACTTGGAAACAACGGTTTTCAAAAACACTTAAACATTTAGCAACAAAGGACAATGAGCCATAACAGGAAAGAAAAATAAACCCAAAACAGAGTAAAACGTACAAATGCCCCATCAATAACCTTAAAAGAATTTCCAGATATACACATTCTGAAAGAATTCATTACCAGCAGACCTGCACTACAAGAAACGTTAAAGGAAATCCTTCACGCAGAAGGAAAATTATACCAGATGGAAATAAAGACCTAAACAAAGGAATGAAGAGCACCAGAAATGGTGACTCTGGATAAGCACATAAGACCTTTTTCTTATTATTTAAACGTCTTCAAAAGATAATCAACTGCTTAAAGAGCAATACTAACAACATAGAATGAGGTTTACAATATACACAGAAGTAAACCATATGACAATAGCACTATAAAGACCGGAGGGGAGAAATGGAAGCACCTATTTACTATAAAGTATTTACATTATACAGGAAGTATGATATCACTGACAACAGACTGTGACAGCTAAAAACATACACTATAAATCTTAAGGCAACCACTATAATAAGGAATTATAACTAATAAGCCAAAGAAGATAATATGAAAGCTAGAAAATAATTCAAAAGAATGCAGAAAAAGAGGAAAAAGGGAAGATAAAGAGCTTGGACAGAAAATAAATAGCAAGATGTCAGATTTAAAGTTATCTAATCTATTAAGAAATACATTAAATGCAAATGGCCTAAAACAGTCCAATTCAGAGAGACTGTCAAAGTGGATTAAAAACCAAGCCCCATGTGGTGCCTGGGTGGCTCAGTTGGTTAATAAGTAGCCAACTTTGACTCAGGTCTTGATCTCATGGTCTGTAGTTTCAAGCCCTATGTCGTCGGGCTCCGTGCTAATAGCTTAGAGCCTGGGGCCTACTTCAGATTCTGTGTCTCCCTCTCTCTCTGCTCCCTCCCCTGCTCACACTCAGTCTCTCAAAAATAAATAAACATTAAAAAAAAATTAAAAAGCAAGCCCCAAATATATGTTGCCTACAAGAAATATATTATTTATTAACTAAACTATGAAATCTAAGTCACCATTTTATTTACCATGCAACTACTAGTATGTTGTTTTTATCTGGTTACATTATTACTATTATTTTTTATTGAAGTTTGGTTGACATACAATGTTACATTAGCTTCAAGTGTACAACATAGTGGTTCAACAAGTCTATGTGTTTTGCTATGCTCACCACAAGTGTAGCTAGCTACCATACCTCATCCAGAGGACGCTATAACAATACCATCAGCTAGATTCCCTATGCTATACCTTTCATCCCCATGACTTTTTCATTCCATAACTGGAGGCCTGTACCTACCACTCCACTTCACCCATTTTGCCCATCCTCTCACTGCCCAAGCAATACATTTGAAATAAAGACATCAATAGGGAAAAAAGAGAAAAATGGGAAAAGATATATCACACTAACACTAATCAAAAGAAAGCTATGATAGCAAATTTTAATCAAAATGGCTTTCAAAGAATATTTCAAAGAACATAAAATGACTTTCTTTATGCTAGGCAATGATAAAGGGAGTCAATTCATGAAGAGGATAGAACAATCATAAATAGTTATACACTTAACGACAGAGCTTAAAAATACAGAGCAAAAAGGTATAGAACTGCGAAGGAAAAAAGTCTGTAAGTACACATGTAGATGTCAATACCTGCCCCACAATAATTAATAAATCAAATAGACACAAAATCAATAAAAATACAGAAGACCTGAACAACATTCCCAACCAACTTGGTCTGACATTTATAGAACATTCCATTCAACGATAGCAAAATATACATGCTTTTAAGTGCACACGAGACTTCACCAAGACAGACCATTTTCTAGGTCATGAAAAAGTCTCAATAAATTTAACAGGAGTCAGAGAAGCACATTCTCTGACCAGAATGTAATTAAAATAGAAATCAATAAAAGAAAGATATCTGGAAACACCTCAAAATGTTTAGAAATGAAATCACACACTTTTAATAGTTCATGGATGGGCTATCAAACAGCCCATCTCAAGAAATCACAGAGGTATTAGAAAGCACTATGAACTGAATGACAAGAAAAACACACTGTATGGACAGCTGAGGATGCAGTTAAAGAAGTATTTAAGGGGAAATTTATAGCACTAAATCCCTGTATCAGACAACAGGAAAAGTCTCAGATCAATGACCTGGGCTTCTACCTTAAAGTAGAAAGAGAAGAGCAAGTTAACAACGTAAGAACTAATGAAATACAAAAGAAAAAAATAATAGAGAAAAACTGATAAAACCTAAAGCTCATTATTGATTAAAAAGATCAATAAAACTGATAAACCTCTAAGCAAACTGATCAATGGGGGAAAAAAAAAAAGGATCATGAGGGGAACTTGCAAAGTATAAAGATCCTGAGCTCATCTCCTCCCACAGATACACTGAGGCTGCAACTGCATATAGAACAACTCTTCCTGCGAATGACCTGAAGAGCAGCAGGAACAACTCTTCCACATTAAAGACATAAAGAAAAAGACATACTGAGAAGAGCAGAAGGGAAAGAGACACAGCCTGGCCATGAACCAAATCATCGATGTGCTGACCCGCAAGTGGGAGGGATATCATGGATGTGGAGGTCTTCCCTGAGGAGTGAGGGGTTCAAACCCTACACTGGGCACTCCTTGCCCTATGGATCTGCATGGGAAAGAGAAGCCTCCGTAGTATCTGGCTTTGAAAATCAGAGGGGCTTAACTCTGGGGGAGCAGGAAGGTTATAGTAAATGGAGACTTCACTATTAAAGGGCCTGCACTATTAAAGGGCCTCACTCCAAGACCCAGTGCAGAGGCAGCGGTTTGAGAAGCACCTGAGCCATGGAAGACACTTACTAATTTTAGGACATGTGCTGGAAGGACAGGGATCTGCAGGAACTTTCTGGGAACAGAAGCTTAGCAGGTACCATTTTTTTGCCCTCCTTCAGCCTAGCTGGCCTGACACTAAGGACAGCCTAGCTGGCCTGACGCTAAGGAGCAAAAGTTCTAAGACTATCTATCTACTTTACTACAACTGCTCACCCTGTTCCCACATTCTCCTGCAGACCTCTTCTGCCCAGCCTGCCCACCCTGGCAGGCACCTGTCTGAAGTGGCTCTTGCCCACCACACCTGGTAGGCAGCCTCAGCTGGGATCTGCAACCCTCCAAAGCGACTCCTGCCCCAGGTAGGGGCAGGCCACCCCAACCACCAGTACCCCTCATAGGCTAGGCCTCTGAAATAGCTAGGCAAAGCCCACCCACCAGGGTGCCTACAGCAGTTGCATCCCAGACACAATGGGTGGATGCGTGCAGCCCACAAGGCAACGCTCCGGAGTGCCTCTGCTTGACCAGGGGTGACTGTACTTGTGGGCCCTGAAGGATACCTTCTACATAAGGCCACCACCTTCAAGAGCATAAGATGTGGCTGAACTACCTAATATATAGGAACAAATACAGAGAGACAGAAAATGAGACAGAGAAATATGTTCCGAAGAAAGAAGTCAAGACCTCAGAAAAAAACTAAGTGAAACAGAAACAAGCAATCTACCTGATAAAAGAGTTCAATGTAATGGTCATACAGATGTTCACTGAACTTGAGAGAAGAGTAGATGAACTCAGTGCAAATTTCAACAAAGAG